ATTCTATAACATCACAACGAACAACAGTCACACAAGACAGGAAAGTAGAACAATAGCTCTGAAACAACATGTATTTAATACAATACCCCACCCCCTTTTGAACTATGTAATATTCCCAATATTAGTTTTAACACTTAATGAATCAGTTAAATAAATCATCTAATATTTTATAAATATCTATCAAAATTAACAAAAATCAAAATGTACGTAAATGGCGCCATCTTTAAATTTCCAGCCTAATTCAATGGTTCAATAAACACTACTGCATATAATAAATAAACATGTGAATAGTAATAATAATAATATCATATGACTTTTAAACAAAAACAAAATTCTGCCTCAAAAACTTAAATTTTCTTCAGTTTTTTGGTTGTATATGATATTTTATTTTAGTTTTATTTTATTTCTTTAAAATTAAAAAGTGGGATGGCATACAAGAATGACTTTTACACTAAGTCAAGAAAAGAATATCAAGGTCTTTTCTGTTCTCACTTTGTTATAAATTTTATTTTAACGCATTTTGCATAGAGTATTGCACAGGTTGTTACTGTATGTAAATTGTACCACACACACACACACACACAGAGAGAGAATTGTGTGTATTGTATGTGTTCAATATTTTAATAGATAAAATAGACGATATTACTGATAGATAGGTGTTTGATATCAATGGGATACATTATCACCATGGTAACTGTTATATAAATACATATAGATAAGTGACTCTGATATATGTGTAAAACTTGAGCATTAGATATGTCACACTCACAGAGTGAAACGGTATTATTTACAGCCTGAATGACAAAGTTTTGAACAAAATTTATTTCATACATTTATTCCCCTTAATGAATTTGAACAAAGAAGCAAGAACTACAGTTTTAGCAGAATAAATTGGTACCATCTTTTATTTCGTTGCCTTCTCGTCAGCTCAGCTGCTTACAGGCCAAAGACAGTATTAAATATATCTACAAAAACAATTTTAACATACTTGCACAGAGTTCATTTTAAACAAAAATCAATCGATCAATATACGGATACACTAAAAATATATACATATATAAATATGCAATATTAAACACTATTCCGAACAACAATAATAATCATACACAATGGAAACTTTTCAGGATTACGCATTCAGATGAAAGAGAGATGAAAATATCTAGTTACCAGGATGGGCAAAGAAAGACTGACTAGAAACTGCTTCTTTTTCGACGCATAAATCAGGTTTCAGGCGTTTGATGGAAATGGCTTCAGCAAACTTATGGAGAATTGAGCTCTTTTGCCTATTGATAATTTTGTACGATCTTGTGACGTCCACCTGATGACTTGTGTCAAGGAGACACCTGGCGATGGCACTGCTTAAAGCATTTGTTCCTTTTAGACACAAGCTTTTTGGTACGTGTTCAGAAAATCGTAGATATTCCCTTCTTTCTGTCCTTCCAATGTAACGGCTCCCGCAGATACATGTAAATTTGTATATACACTTGGAGTTGTTAACATGAGAAGGATATCTATCGATTTTTGATTGCACCAAAGAGCAAGTTGTTCGATATACACGAACCAGCTTAGCTGCATTCTAGGCTATGACTATTGATGTACTCAGCCTTCTGTTGATCATCGCTGCAATGTTTTCACCTTTATAATCAAGCTGAAATTAGATTGGCTTTTTACCCACAGTGATTTGTTTTACATTTGTGACTTCAGATCTTTCATACTTGTTGATGAACCTTTCAGGGTAGCCATAGCTCTTCAATATCTTTTCAAGGAACTCAGATTCTTCTTCTAATTTCTCTATAGAGCATATTCTCCTCGCTTTATAGTACAGAGTCTTGACTAGACCACGTTTGAAGCTATTTCGACAAATGCTATTGAAATGCAAGTATTGTCTTTTCCATGTAGGCTTTCGATAAATTGACTTTTGAAGACTACCGTCTTCTAGGCGTTCCATGGCGATGTCAAAGAAGTGAAACTTTCCGTCACTTTCATGTTCCATAGTGAACTCAATATTGGTGTGTGCATCATTGAATAATCTTAGTAAGTGTGAAGCATGACTTATTTTTGCACATTATAAATGTGTCATCAACATATCGACAGTAGGAAGTTGTTTCGTCGATTGCATGCTTCAACTTCGTTCTTTCAAGGTTTGACATGAATATATCTGCTAAAACAGAGCTAAGTGGACTGACCATAGCTACACCATCTATTTGCCAGTAAAAAGTGTTGTCAAATTGTGCAGGTATGTGAAAATTGTTTTTGTAGATGTATTTAATAATGTTTTTGGCCTGTAAGCAGCTGAGCTGACTAGAAGTCAACGAAATAAAAGATGGTACCACTTTATTCTTCTAAAACAGCAGTTCTTGCTTTGTTCAAAATTTATTTATTGTTCATAATCATATTATCAATTATAATCACACAACTTCAAAGGGATTTCCTTCAGATTTTTGCTGTTGATTGTGACTACTGCTTGTTGTTGTTGTTTTTACTTAGATGTCTTCATTATTTCTGTCTTTTCTGTGTTCCCTTAGTGTGCTGTCTTTGCTGCCTGCTTCGGTGACTCTAATTTATAACAGCCCAAACTGACGCACATCTGATATCTATGGTCTCGACGAGCTATGTTAGCAGATATAGGGTCAGGCTGGAAAAAAGCTAGCGGCGGTCAAACAAAAACTTGGCACCAGTCAATGAAATCCACAACAGTTGGTCTAAGCCACGTAGAAAGGTGTAGACTTCCAAGGCTGGGGTCCTCGGGACGGTAAAAATCTATGTTTGGAAACAATTGGTGACATGGCTCAAAATCGTTCTCAGTGGCGCAGATGCATCCACTCCTTGTGACTTATGATCTTCAATGAAACTGTTTTTTATTTCTTTATTACTCCTTTGTCTCACACCTCTGCTCACTGTTTCTATTATGTTTTTCTTGTACTTTCTTCTCTTGCTTCGTGTGCTACACGGAGTGTGGCGATTTGAACTTCCGCACATTTGTGCAAAGTTCTATGTCGAAAACAGACAGACAGATATCTATGGCCGGCCTGCAAAATTTAGGCTACCGATATCACATGGTGAAAATTCCATAACTGTACCAAAAAATACAGTGTGTAATCAAGCTGTAATCAAAAATTAAAAAAAAGTTTATTTTAAATATAAAGTTTTAGTGTCACGTGGAAGGCCAGGGTTCGAGTAGACGCTGTGTTGGTGGTTCAGCAGTCATCATTCATGTACGCGCATGGTTCGAGGTTCGATTCCTAGTCTACCTTTACCTTTACCTCTTATAGCTTGTTTTGAGTCCGACAAAGAGAGTTAAAGTTGGGTGTGAGGCTAGTGACCAGATTCAAAGCTCAGACTGCTTGAAGCCCTATGCTCCATTTGAAAAAAAAACACGAGAATTCAAACATAAGCATATTAATTCATCTAATGATGAATAGACTGCTAGCCAAATACTTACACATATTAACTGATAATCAATCAATAATCAAACCTATTTGACAGATCAATAAAATTCAACCAATCAGAATGAAGAGATTATTCGTGTCATCATAACAAACTCTTCTATATGTTTGTCTATAAGTCAAATGAATAATTTCATGAGTGAAAATGAATTATTTAGACTGTAAAATGTCAAATGAAGTGTTTATGCTGTCGTACACATCAAAAGAAACACTTGAAAAATAGAGTTACAATTCCAGATGTAGGTAAACTTCGCATGATTTCAGTTGAAAACCGATGGCTATTTAGATTACAACATACTACCCCTTTAGATAGTATTAATTAGGAACCAAGAAGGGAAGTGGTTGTTATGTACTCGTCGCTGAATTATTGTTATGGTCTGGTCGAGAAACTAATAGTCCTGACGCGAGAAGGCGGAAATCAGAAGACCACTAGGTTTGCGATGATACTTCTATTGTCCAAACACAAGGAGACGAAAATAAATGGTCTCACACCAAAGTGGTAAGCAAGTCAAGTAGTTGTAAAGTAAAGTAGTTCACACAGATTGTAAATGCGAATATATATAAATAATTCAGACAAGCGTGGGAAAAATCATTAGACAGTCTTAACATGAATGGCTAATTATAATGGAGTGTCGATCCAATTATACATAGCGAATATAGCAGACATGCCAACAAACATATATGGATATATGTCACCAAGCAACGGACTGTCAACAAACACTCATATTATATATAATATAATATAAGGAGAATACACATTATTAAAAGAGACAAGTCCATACAAGTGAAGTGGTCACAGACTAACCGAGCAAACAGAAAGAGAGACCAACATGCACACACACATAAATATATATATGTGGATACATATCACCTCCCCTTTTGAGAAGATGAATGATTAGTAGGATGTTTACCTGGGGGTTTATCTGGGACCTTTGGGCTTGTTGTTGACGCCTGTCGTTTCGTCTGATTGTTGGGTTTGCGGCTTCGGCTCCGTCCGGAATTGTCTGACACTTTCTGCTTCTTGACTGCATTGCATAGCGAATTTAGTGGGACATCAGCCAGATGCAAACGATCGAACCAATCAAGTCCCAAAACATTTAAATCATTCTTCGTGACGTAACAAATTCCTGTGAATTTGGTATTGCGGAAGGAAACGGAACATTTGAGTTCACCAATAAGTTTGAGCCGCCCACCACAGGCGCTGACAAGAGACTGGGAAGTATTGGTGATAGGTGGTCTGCCAATATTATTCCAAATTTTCTCTGATATAACAGTAATATCAGAGGCGGTATCTAGCTGCAGACGTGCATCATGACCATCCATCTGAAGGTCAAGATATTTCCGCATACCTGGTGTTGTGACCTGACAGGTTGCGCGTAGACTCAATGATCTCCTTGGAGATTTAGGACCAACAGTTTGGCGAGCTGTTGCTGGATTTTGATATCTGGGCTTGCGTGGCTGACAAAAACCATTTTTGTGACCGATGATCTTGCACTTGCTGCAACGATGATTTTTGTATGGACAAGACTTTACAAAGTGCCACGCGCCACAATGTCAGCATGGTGATGGAGGGGTCTTCTTTGTCGTATTTTGTGAAGTTGGACGAGTATGTGTTATTTTCCGCGGGACATTAGAAGAAGTAGGTGGGTCAGGAGTAGATGATGGGAGATTTTTGCTCTTGCGTAATGCACGAATATCAGAGCTTCTCGGAGGTGTTGATTCGACCAAGTGTGTGTCTTTCTGCAGATTAATAAGCCGTTGATATTCATCAGCTATGTCATGTAATGTTAACTTGGGATTTTGTTCTAGCTGATTGAGCAGTCGAGTTCGGATATCTGTGAAACGAGGAGATTGAAGACTGCATATGAGGATCAAAGCTTTGAATTGATCATCTGTTAAGGACCTGAGTCGAAATCTCTCACATTCTCGGTTGACTGTGCCAACGTGAGTAAGAAAATCATCATTTTCATTCATTGCCAGCTTGAGGAAACGATAACGTATGCTGAATAATGAGGAGTGGTCTCCAAAATGTTCACGCAGCAACTTTATTGTATCATCGAAACAATTGTCACGTGGTTTCTGTGGTAAAATTAGGTTGCAGTACCGTTCATATTCTGCCGGACCCAATTTACGTAGCAAAACTCGCACCTTCCAGGCATCGTCTTGTGAGGCGAGATCAACAGTGAATAAATCCTCATATCGTTGATACCATGTGTCAAAAGTGACATTAGCCTCTGGGTCATAATTGAACTGTGAAATACTGTTCACAATGCCGTCGACAGATGGTAGCATGGTATGATTGGGATTGCTTGAAGGTGAAGCTGGACCAGTCTGTTGGTTGACGAACATTTCCATTAATTTCAATTGTTGTTCAAACAATAATTCCAATTTAGAATAATCCATAGTAAATTGTTATGTTGCTGCTGCTGACTGGTTAATAGTAGTTTTTCCCCGTCGCCAAATTGTTATGTACTCGTCGCTGAATTATTGTTATGGACTGGTCGAGAAACTAATAGTCCTGACGCGAGAAGGCGGAAATCAGAAGACCACTAGGTTTGCGATGATACTTCTATTGTCCAAACACAAGGAGACGAAAATAAATGGTCTCACACCAAAGTGGTAAGCAAGTCAAGTAGTTGTAAAGTAAAGTAGTTCATACAGATTGTAAATGCGAATATATATAAATAATTCAGACAAGCGTGGGAAAAATCATTAGACAGTCTTAACATGAATGGCTAATTATAATGGAGTGTCGATCCAATTATACATAGCGAATATAGCAGACATGCCAACAAACATATATGGATATATGTCACCAAGCAACGGACTGTCAACAAACACTCATATTATATATAATATAATATAAGGAGAATACACATTATTAAAAGAGACAAGTCCATACAAGTGAAGTGGTCACAGACTAACCGAGCAAACAGAAAGAGAGACCAACATGCACACACACATAAATATATATATGTGGATACATATCACCTCCCCTTTTGAGAAGATGAATGATTAGTAGGATGTTTACCTGGGGGTTTATCTGGGACCTTTGGGCTTGTTGTTGACGCCTGTCGTTTCGTCTGATTGTTGGGTTTGCGGCTTCGGCTCCGTCCGGAATTGTCTGACACTTTCTGCTTCTTGACTGCATTGCATAGCGAATTTAGTGGGACATCAGCCAGATGCAAACGATCGAACCAATCAAGTCCCAAAACATTTAAATCATTCTTCGTGACGTAACAAATTCCTGTGAATTTGGTATTGCGGAAGGAAACGGAACATTTGAGTTCACCAATAAGTTTGAGCCGCCCACCACAGGCGCTGACAAGAGACTGGGAAGTATTGGTGATAGGTGGTCTGCCAATATTATTCCAAATTTTCTCTGATATAACAGTAATATCAGAGGCGGTATCTAGCTGCAGACGTGCATCATGACCATCCATCTGAAGGTCAAGATATTTCCGCATACCTGGTGTTGTGACCTGACAGGTTGCGCGTAGACTCAATGATCTCCTTGGAGATTTAGGACCAACAGTTTGGCGAGCTGTTGCTGGATTTTGATATCTGGGCTTGCGTGGCTGACAAAAACCATTTTTGTGACCGATGATCTTGCACTTGCTGCAACGATGATTTTTGTATGGACAAGACTTTACAAAGTGCCACGCGCCACAATGTCAGCATGGTGATGGAGGGGTCTTCTTTGTCGTATTTTGTGAAGTTGGACGAGTATGTGTTATTTTCCGCGGGACATTAGAAGAAGTAGGTGGGTCAGGAGTAGATGATGGGAGATTTTTGCTCTTGCGTAATGCACGAATATCAGAGCTTCTCGGAGGTGTTGATTCGACCAAGTGTGTGTCTTTCTGCAGATTAATAAGCCGTTGATATTCATCAGCTATGTCATGTAATGTTAACTTGGGATTTTGTTCTAGCTGATTGAGCAGTCGAGTTCGGATATCTGTGAAACGAGGAGATTGAAGACTGCATATGAGGATCAAAGCTTTGAATTGATCATCTGTTAAGGACCTGAGTCGAAATCTCTCACATTCTCGGTTGACTGTGCCAACGTGAGTAAGAAAATCATCATTTTCATTCATTGCCAGCTTGAGGAAACGATAACGTATGCTGAATAATGAGGAGTGGTCTCCAAAATGTTCACGCAGCAACTTTATTGTATCATCGAAACAATTGTCACGTGGTTTCTGTGGTAAAATTAGGTTGCAGTACCGTTCATATTCTGCCGGACCCAATTTACGTAGCAAAACTCGCACCTTCCAGGCATCGTCTTGTGAGGCGAGATCAACAGTGAATAAATCCTCATATCGTTGATACCATGTGTCAAAAGTGACATTAGCCTCTGGGTCATAATTGAACTGTGAAATACTGTTCACAATGCCGTCGACAGATGGTAGCATGGTATGATTGGGATTGCTTGAAGGTGAAGCTGGACCAGTCTGTTGGTTGACGAACATTTCCATTAATTTCAATTGTTGTTCAAACAATAATTCCAATTTAGAATAATCCATAGTAAATTGTTATGTTGCTGCTGCTGACTGGTTAATAGTAGTTTTTCCCCGTCGCCAAATTGTTATGTACTCGTCGCTGAATTATTGTTATGGACTGGTCGAGAAACTAATAGTCCTGACGCGAGAAGGCGGAAATCAGAAGACCACTAGGTTTGCGATGATACTTCTATTGTCCAAACACAAGGAGACGAAAATAAATGGTCTCACACCAAAGTGGTAAGCAAGTCAAGTAGTTGTAAAGTAAAGTAGTTCATACAGATTGTAAATGCGAATATATATAAATAATTCAGACAAGCGTGGGAAAAATCATTAGACAGTCTTAACATGAATGGCTAATTATAATGGAGTGTCGATCCAATTATACATAGCGAATATAGCAGACATGCCAACAAACATATATGGATATATGTCACCAAGCAACGGACTGTCAACAAACACTCATATTATATATAATATAATATAAGGAGAATACACATTATTAAAAGAGACAAGTCCATACAAGTGAAGTGGTCACAGACTAACCGAGCAAACAGAAAGAGAGACCAACATGCACACACACATAAATATATATATGTGGATACATATCACCTCCCCTTTTGAGAAGATGAATGATTAGTAGGATGTTTACCTGGGGGTTTATCTGGGACCTTTGGGCTTGTTGTTGACGCCTGTCGTTTCGTCTGATTGTTGGGTTTGCGGCTTCGGCTCCGTCCGGAATTGTCTGACACTTTCTGCTTCTTGACTGCATTGCATAGCGAATTTAGTGGGACATCAGCCAGATGCAAACGATCGAACCAATCAAGTTCCAAAACATTTAAATCATTCTTCGTGACGTAACAAATTCCTGTGAATTTGGTATTGCGGAAGGAAACGGAACATTTGAGTTCACCAATAAGTTTGAGCCGCCCACCACAGGCGCTGACAAGAGACTGGGAAGTATTGGTGATAGGTGGTCTGCCAATATTATTCCAAATTTTCTCTGATATAACAGTAATATCAGAGGCGGTATCTAGCTGCAGACGTGCATCATGACCATCCATCTGAAGGTCAAGATATTTCCGCATACCTGGTGTTGTGACCTGACAGGTTGCGCGTAGACTCAATGATCTCCTTGGAGATTTAGGACCAACAGTTTGGCGAGCTGTTGCTGGATTTTGATATCTGGGCTTGCGTGGCTGACAAAAACCATTTTTGTGACCGATGATCTTGCACTTGCTGCAACGATGATTTTTGTATGGACAAGACTTTACAAAGTGCCACGCGCCACAATGTCAGCATGGTGATGGAGGGGTCTTCTTTGTCGTATTTTGTGAAGTTGGACGAGTATGTGTTATTTTCCGCGGGACATTAGAAGAAGTAGGTGGGTCAGGAGTAGATGATGGGAGATTTTTGCTCTTGCGTAATGCACGAATATCAGAGCTTCTCGGAGGTGTTGATTCGACCAAGTGTGTGTCTTTCTGCAGATTAATAAGCCGTTGATATTCATCAGCTATGTCATGTAATGTTAACTTGGGATTTTGTTCTAGCTGATTGAGCAGTCGAGTTCGGATATCTGTGAAACGAGGAGATTGAAGACTGCATATGAGGATCAAAGCTTTGAATTGATCATCTGTTAAGGACCTGAGTCGAAATCTCTCACATTCTCGGTTGACTGTGCCAACGTGAGTAAGAAAATCATCATTTTCATTCATTGCCAGCTTGAGGAAACGATAACGTATGCTGAATAATGAGGAGTGGTCTCCAAAATGTTCACGCAGCAACTTTATTGTATCATCGAAACAATTGTCACGTGGTTTCTGTGGTAAAATTAGGTTGCAGTACCGTTCATATTCTGCCGGACCCAATTTACGTAGCAAAACTCGCACCTTCCAGGCATCGTCTTGTGAGGCGAGATCAACAGTGAATAAATCCTCATATCGTTGATACCATGTGTCAAAAGTGACATTAGCCTCTGGGTCATAATTGAACTGTGAAATACTGTTCACAATGCCGTCGACAGATGGTAGCATGGTATGATTGGGATTGCTTGAAGGTGAAGCTGGACCAGTCTGTTGGTTGACGAACATTTCCATTAATTTCAATTGTTGTTCAAACAATAATTCCAATTTAGAATAATCCATAGTAAATTGTTATGTTGCTGCTGCTGACTGGTTAATAGTAGTTTTTCCCCGTCGCCAAATTGTTATGTACTCGTCGCTGAATTATTGTTATGGACTGGTCGAGAAACTAATAGTCCTGACGCGAGAAGGCGGAAATCAGAAGACCACTAGGTTTGCGATGATACTTCTATTGTCCAAACACAAGGAGACGAAAATAAATGGTCTCACACCAAAGTGGTAAGCAAGTCAAGTAGTTGTAAAGTAAAGTAGTTCATACAGATTGTAAATGCGAATATATATAAATAATTCAGACAAGCGTGGGAAAAATCATTAGACAGTCTTAACATGAATGGCTAATTATAATGGAGTGTCGATCCAATTATACATAGCGAATATAGCAGACATGCCAACAAACATATATGGATATATGTCACCAAGCAACGGACTGTCAACAAACACTCATATTATATATAATATAATATAAGGAGAATACACATTATTAAAGGAGACAAGTCCATACAAGTGAAGTGGTCACAGACTAACCGAGCAAACAGAAAGAGAGACCAACATGCACACACACATAAATATATATATGTGGATACATATCAGTGGTATAATGAAATAGTATATACTACTAATGCATTTGAGTAATTAGGTCAGCTGTATGACAGTGCCACGTATCAGGTGATCCACAACGGAAAATTCACCGAAGTCTTCGAAGTGAAGACAGGAGTAAGAAAAGGCTGACTGCCCGCCTGTTATCACCGATGATATTCTTAAT